ACACTTGGAGAGTCTAATTGCAATGATCATTATAGGGGGAAAATCTACCTTGCAGTCACAATTTTTGAAAATCTTTTAAGTTCTTTGTAAATCCAATTCAACATAAATTGACATCATTTGCATCTGGTTCTTTAATACTCAAGCATTTCACATCTGCTTCCTTTCATCCACTTCTGGCCTTACAGATTTCACATGACCACTATGATTTCCATAGCAGCCTTTTGTGAGAGACTTTGTACAAGCTTTTTGAATACCCAAGTACTAGTTTACCAGGTAACTTCTACCTATATACAGACTGGAACAAGTGGGTGGTTCTCATGATTCTATTTAGATTTCTTCTGGGAGAAAAAAACTACAAAGCCCGCTTTTTTTTTTTCCCCTGCAAATTTACAGCCCATGAGAATCGAGTTTTTTTCTGGTGCCAAATTAGAAATAAATTGGATATATGTTTCATTCATTTCATGTTCTAAATGCCTGGTAAGATTCATAATTCACTGGGTTTATGCAGCCTAGACAAGAAGTTAACTTTTCAGCCTAATGGTGCTTGCAGTCACCAAACATATTCTTCCTTAGTCTAGCTCCAGTTAACAGAGAGACATGTACAGATTGAAACAGATTTGTGCAAGCTGAAGGCCAACTGATGTTTAATCCTGTTCAGTCTTAAACTGGTGCCTGTTACTGCAGTAAAAAGGATAATAATTATCTAGGATGCTGTTGAAATATTCCTTCTAGACATCCCTAGAGCATTTTCTCATATCTACGTCACTTTGTTCATATGAGAAAACCACCCCAAATGGAAGATAATATTTTTGCAGGAGGATGTGCATGGAAATGAAATAATATCTTAACAATGTATAACAGGAAAAATGTAATTATGTAAGCTATTAAAAAAGCAAAGACCTTTTACTTCACACACATGCACAATTAAGTCAGATTAGGCAACCTGGTGGTCTCCGGATATTGTAGACTAATTCCCATCAGCCCCAGTCAGCAAGGCAGTGTAGAATTTTTATTCCAAAATGCCTGGAGCACAGCAGTTACCTTAGACTAAGATTAGCAAACATTCTTCAATTCCACATTCATTATTCCTGTTGGACAGAAGAAAGTTTGCCAGAAATTTTCTTCATCATCTCCAAATCTTCCCAAGTTTACCTGCCACATTTTTTACATGGAAATTCCTCCTCTTGATTCTGGGTTTTGTTAGCTGTGTCTTGTTTAGGCTTTGGTTTTCTCCTTCTCTTTTGCACTGGTGGCGAAGCCTTCCGATATTTAATGGGTGCCTCCTTTGTCCTTCTCGAAGTCCTGCCTCTGACTTCTGTTCTTCCTGGAGCACCAGATTCCAGATGTCTTTCCACATGGAGATTACCAGCCTTCAGAAGAAGAGACCATTATTACAAGCTGCAGCTCTAAGTATTCCTAAAGGAAAGAGGCTTAACAATGGTCAGAAATGAAAAACTAACCACAACAAAAATGTAATAGCAAGCAAAATAAACAGTTTTCTGCGATTAAAGCATTGGTATAATTATGTTATTTTTATTAAGCTAAAACTCAGACTTAATGGGTTCAACACATGACAAAGTGAGCACGTTTTAATAATGTCTTAAATAAGCTATGAATATTTTGAACTCCTTCTGGAGTTTTTTCTTGAAGCCTGTTAAAACATAAAACAGCGATGTGGTTTTTTTTTTTCTTTTGGAAAACGTGTGAGAAACATACTACAGCAGCATACTGATATATGTATTATCCCCACTCTGTATTTTAGGTACAAATTATGAAATCACTATTGACCTATAACAAGTAGGACCCAAATAGGAGTCTACCATCTCCTGTACGCACGTCACATTATGTTAAAAGAAACATTTCAAAGCCAAAAGTATTCTGCTATAAGCTCCTTTGAGAATATTCAGAAATAAAATGAATATTACACAAAGCATTATTAGGATTATCAGAAAGCAAAATAGCATGTTTCCAAAATTTTCAAGTACACTGTTTCTCCAACTTACTGCAAATCCAAGTTCAGCACACCTTGAAAAATCCATAAAAAGATCCTAACTATATTTTAAGAATATTGGGGGAGGGGGGAGGTTGCTACAACTACTTTGCTGAATAAATATTACATACAGGTATTCCTCCGGTTACGGTAGCAATTGGGACCGGAAACTCTGTTGCTAAGCAATGTGCACATAAAGTGCAATGTCACGTGACTGTGTCACGTAGCAACGGCACTTCCAGAAATCCCAGTTGCCATCATTAAATGAGGACTGTGCAGATCATTAAGTGAGGACCTCACATGATCACGACTTCCTGCCAGCTTCCCCAGACTTTGTGGGAAGCCGGCAGGGAACATCGAAAATTGCAATCACGTGACCAAGGCTTGCTGCAACGTCATAACTGTGAGCCAAATGCCAAGTGTCCATATCACAATCACATCACTATGGGGACCCATCCTAAGTTCCCCTCGTTCAGCACCCTAACTTGAAAGGTTGCTGTACAAATGGTCATAACCTGAGGACTACCTGTATCTACACTTCTAATCTCATCTTTCTTTGACAGAAAGCATCAGGCAGCTCCAGACAATTATTCAAACCATTAATAATTTATGTCACTAGTGATATTAACTAAATACAGAAATTACACTGATTCCACTAAACCTGGTCAACTGTTTTGTAAGAAATGCTTCAGGCACAAATTTTTGACTGTGGTTCATTTAACACTTACTTGATCTTCAACATCTAGAAGATTAGAAGATTTGGAAGGGGCTGAATTGCTGTTCTTACCATACAACTCATCCCCTTCCACGGCTTCCTCTTTAATTGACAATTCTTCCTCAACTTCTTCAATATCCTCATCTTCAGTGTTTTCATAATCTTCATTATATGTTCTGGGAGGAAGAGTTCGTGTAAGCCTATGGGAACTCTTCAGGAGAGTAAAAAAGGAATACATGTTAAAAATAATCACTTCAGCACAGTTAGGAATATGTATGAATTCAACAGGGCTCATTCATCACCATTCTAATAGCTCCTACCAATAAGATTTAAGTGGAACTCTGCAATCCTCCCCCCCCCCCCCCCAATTCTGCTGAGTATCCCTTTCTATACATACACATTAACTCAAAGAGAGAGAGGATGTTTCTTTCAGGCTCTATGCCTTTGCATGCAATCTCACAGAGGTCTAGCATACTTTTTAGCACCAAAGCCCATGCTTGGTATCTGTTACCTTTATATCTACTTCAGCTTCATCTTTAACAGCCCTTTCATTAGTAGTATCAACATCCCCAAAGATCAGAGTCCCATTCCGGCCTATCTTGACTTGTTTTTTGTAAGTATAGTAGAATTCCACACATTGGGCCACAGTCTTGGTTTTTATCTGCAATATTGTGGGATGGAGAAAACACACAAGAAAAGGGAATCAGAGAACTCCAAATGATCACAAGGGTTAATACTAGTAAAGAAACTTTACTGAAAGAATCTCAGAAAAAAGGGCTATTTGCAGAAAATAAAACTAAACGTGACTATAAAAAAACAACAGCTTGAATGAGACTAAAAAACTGGAAAACCAAAGCACTCCATGGGCATTTTAAAAAAAAAGATACTGAAGGAAAATCAGATCACAGCAGAACAGGGCAGTGGCTTAAGAATGGTACATTAAAAATGAAACAGAAGAAATGCTTTTTGCTGTCCAAAACCCAGCACTATGCACAAATGTCATCAAAGTAAAAAATACAAAAGACCAGTTTGGACAGTAAATGCAAATTGTTCTGAGATAAGGATGAAACAGTTGACCATTCGCTTGATTCCACAATCGGATTCATGGACTAAGATTGCAAACACCAATAGGCTACACTTTGTACTGTGATGGTTGAAAGTCTTTCAGCTGAGCAGTCCTGGAATAGTCCTAAATTAACCTAAAGACATCACAGGACCAAGTGAAACTCATTAGCCAGTCCAGAAATATCTTCTTTCTTTTATATCTTAAATTTCAAATAACCTAATGTCTTAATAATAAACCTATTATTCTATATTACTTCATAAATATTCCTTTCTGAACCTCTGTGTCGCAGTTGGGCATCTCATATATAATTAGATGCTATGATTCACAAGCCCTTGAGTAGGGCTGGAATCCTGTAGGAGAAAACCAGCCAACGTGAATTGGAATAATAATCTACTCCACTAGAGAATCACTGAGCTGTTTACCAAATAAAACAACAGGTCCAATTTCAACACAAAAACCAATTATATTGCATACAGATTCACTGGCTATATTCATGGGCTTCAGAGCTCCTAGCCACTGTCCAGATCTAATCTCTTGAAGGTTGGCATATGTGCAACAAATATGACATTAACTGCTGTTGAAACAGATCTCTGGGCTTCAAAGGCCACTTGTAAGATGGAAACTGAGGAACTGGGGAGTTACTATACATGAAAAAAGAGACACTCCAAAGCCCTATTTTGTACAAATTGCAGTGGGGCTTTCCAGACAGTGGTGGCAGTTTATTGCTTTGCTTGATTAAAATAGTTTTGATTAGGAAAACTTAAATTCTAAATAAAGAAGTCTGATGCAATCACTGAAGCAATGATAGGAGTGCATCTCTGTTTTGCAATACATGGATTTTTCTTAGGCAATTTGAGGGCAAGAAAAATATCACCCATGAAATGGTCCTGGTTGCATATAGATTCTCATAGTTTGGCTCAAAAACCAAAATAGGAATTCATTTTTTCGCTATGCTTAGAGTTCCTTCACTCCTTTCACATGAGGTAGCATATAAATCAGATATTCTTCAACCAACTCTATTTTCCTGCTTCATCCTCAGAAGAATGAATGTATTACAAGCCTGGGAAATAAGTCACAGTCTGAAGTTGGTTTATCATTTTGGCTTGTGCCAGAGCTGGGAACTATAAAATAAATGACAGTTGAAGCATTGCTGGTTTGTTCACTCCTCTTGTGAAAGGGCAAACACACTGTGTCTGTGCTCCGAAGACTTTCCTGTTCTGTCTGAAGCAAATCACTGAAATTATTAGCACTTCTGCACCATTGCACCGAGCGGTATTAAAGTGCTGGGCTCCAGGTTAAAGACGGCATTAAAGATTAGCTCCAATGGCCGCCCCGTTGGACTTCCAAACATGCAGTGGGAAGCTCCGGGGATCTGTCCCACTGCACCCCATTCGCTTCCCAAAATTGTGCTGGAAGGTCCTCCAACCAAGCTATAAGCAGTGTCACTTTTTGCTAGAGGCTGGACATAACCCTGCAAAGTTAATCGGCCAGAGACGTGTGTATGTATCCTGCAGTGCAGGACCATTTTTTTCCCATGAGTTAGGGATATGAGAAAGAACTCACAAGTTTCTGAACAAGGAAGAAGTCTTTCTTATAAATAGCAATTCCCTTATTGAAGTGTTTCTTCTCAGCTACGCTCCAGCTGTCTGACCCTGGAAAAGAGGAAGTGTAAGGTAATTCATTACTTATTTTCCAACACAAAAAGGTCTTCTTGTTGAGGTAGATCTTTCATGAACATTTCAGCTATCCTGTTTGAATCAATTTAAAGTTATTATTTTTGGATTAAATCCCATTTCAGAAGCCTTGCCAGATGGTTTTTTTTAATTAACTCAGACAACATATATGTATCTCTTTAAATTAGCAAATAAAGACAACATATGTATCTGTGCACTGGAACCTGATAATTAAACTGGAATAAAAATTATATCTCTGAATACCCAAAATGCTGAAGTCTTACTCACTAAACCGACAACGTAACAACTGATAACAGAAACAAGGTTGGATTTTATACATCTAGTCCAAAACACTTTGATGGGTAGAGTTTTACACCAAATGAGGAAGTCAAAAAAATATCCCAGAAAGCAGCCACAGCAAACCACTTTGGCATGCTGCTAGCAACATCACAATCTTATATAGATATGTCTTAAGGTGCAGCTCAGTTCAAGGGAATCTTTACCATCATAAAGGAGGGAGCCAAGACAAACCACACTTGGAATGAAATGGAGACCTACAGGCACTTCACAATCATAACCAACTTTGGATCAAGATAAGTATCTGTTTATGGCAAGGGGTCCTTAGGTGAGCTGGTTTTACCACTAGAGTTGTACTACACCAACAAAAGGCTTTGAAATCATGTGGTTGGAGAGCATCGTTCTACATTCTACAGGGTCACCCATGCCTCTGAGCAGTTCCCTGCCTTGCCAAAATTTTAGTGACCTCAGATCAGTGCTAGGTAAAAAGCTCACAGGGACTGTGCACATCTCTCCCAACCATATTCCTGTGTGACATCACAGCACATCAGCCAGCCCTATCATGAGAGATGAAACAAGGAGATTAGTATTTAGGAGAAATGCAAGAGTGAACAGGTCACAGGAGGGGGGCCACTGGGGTAAGTTCCAACGCCACAGAACGGCATGCTCCTATATTTGTCACAAGGTGCCCATCATTACCAGTAATTGGCTTGCACTTAAATGAATGTAACTCATCTCATGGGCTCTGCCCAGTATATAAGTCATATAATATAAATAGTGCAATATTGTGCAGTAAGCAAAACCAGACGTTTTTGTAATATTATTTCTATGAGCCTAAGTGAGGTTTAGATTTGTTTCTTTCAAGTATTATACCCTGTAAACTGAGAGACATTCCAAACATAATGTGCATTCTAGGATAGTTGCTCTAGGAGGGATTTCTTACAACTGTCTGCAATACATTTTTCTCCCATGCTCTTACTTTACCTTTCACTGAGAAAGTGAACACAATCTTTCCTCTTTTTTAAACGAATTAAGACATTACAGAGATCAGAGAGATTGCTATCAAGAGATATCCAAAGACACTCTCAGGATGTCAAATTTTCAGGTTGCTGAACTAATTTCCTGCACTGGCTAGCCTCTTTCCAGGGAGATCCTGGCTACAGATAAACCTGGTAACCCTCCATGTCATATCAGACAGAATGAGACAACACAAACACAGTGTGATCTCAAAATTAATTTGCTTTTCAGAGAACTGTTCAGAAACCACAAAATGTGTGTCCATGTTCTTCTTTATCAGAGATAAAGCAATCAGTAGGAATGTTTTTCCCCCCGTCTGCTAAAATAGGCTAAGATTAAGGAAACAGCCAATGCTTCTAAGCCTAATCTTCTAGATATTGCTGTCCTCCAGGAATGTGGGACAACAACTTCCAGAATTCCTAACCATGTGACTAGGAATTCTGGGAGCTGTAGTCTAATCTACCTCGGAGGCCTCAGGTTGGGGACAATTTTTATGCACAAATTTATTTCAATTATACTTATGACTCTTTAAACATAAAATGGCAGTTTATTTAATACCCTGATTCATCTTTTCACAAGTCCCTACGCATGCACACATACACACTAGACCACAAAAAGTATTTATAACACTACAGTGGTACCTCTACTTACGAACTTAATCCGTTCCGTGACTCTGATCGCAAGTTGAGTTGGTT